AACTCCTCTGATTCATCCATGAGTAACCAGGTTGAGATTGCGTTACGTTTGTCGAGCAATATTTGGGATGATGTATGCTTTCTTGATTTACTGAATAGACCTTATTCGCTTGGGCGTATGTGATATGTTGTCGCAATTCCATTCATTAGAGTATCATGCGTTAAAAGACTTGCCAAAAATAAAAAATATATACTCCCGATTTCTAATTCTTATTTTGATCGGAAGTAATAAACACATAACTCTGTTTGAAAGCAGGTTTCAAAGCATGATTTTCATTGATTATTTTTCACTTCCGGAAAACTGCGCATGCGCCAAAAAATGGAATACGCCAGAGCCCTCGTTCTTTGCCGCAGGCCGAAAGAAACGGAGGCTCTGGGTACGAGATCGGCCTAACCACAAACTATTGAGATTATGACGTCATACCGTAGCAACCGGTCACCTCGAGGTGTCCCCGCTGTTCGCTAAGTTTGGTCGACTGTGGCTCGTTATGAACGACATGGACGGTTTCCCATCTCGCAAAGTAGTACTACTTTGATGTTTCAAAATATTGTCCAAGGTAAATGGGAAATTAGTATATGTTTTTATGCCTAAACAAGAAATTTTCGCATATTCTGATTTTCTATTTGTGCTTTTTTGTTCCATACGGTACCCAAGCGCTACGCAATTGAGACATAAACAATTCGAGTTTACCTATGACGTAGTCGAATATTTCCGATAATATTCTACAAAGACGCGTTCTATATAACTATAGTACAAAATTGAGCTTATTGACATCGGTGGTTTTGAAAACTAGCCAGGTTAATACATAAAAATCGATAAAATAGTATTTATTTTCGACACACAATGCGATTACTTGAGCAGTTACGCTATCATGACTAAGCTGAAATTTTGACCTTTAGGACGTTTATGATTTGGGCTCTAGAAATTTGTAGTTTAAGTAGACCAACTTGTTTTTTACATTTTCTGAAAGCGGTAACATTGTACTATAGCTGTATTATCTTTTTGTATCACCAGTCCATGTAGCAATTCACTTTTTTGAACCCTCAATTTTGCTACTTTTATGATCTCGCAAAACTAGTAATAAAAATTTAAAAAAAAAAGAAAATTCGAGAAAATATTTAGTTTACAATAATATGCAGGTTCAAACATACCAAATTGTCGAGCTTTATCTGAGTTATAATATTCAGTAAATTGTTTTTAAAGACGTCTTCAGTTTGAGTTTTAAATATTTTTTTGTGTGTATGCATATGAAAGGCCAGTAAATTATGCTATTTGGGTCGCGAAAGTAAAAATGTCGCCGTTCACTTAAAATAAAAACTTGATTTCTCTATATTTTCATGAAATAATATAAGTCACCGAGACCTTCTTCTGGCAAAGTTTGAGAATTTTCGATTTTTTTCATTTTGCACACCTCTGGTCGATATTTACAGACCCCCGCTCTTTTAAAAGTCACCATTGATTTACAATCTAGTAAACTGCGTCCTAGAATAATGACTAGAACTTTGAGAYTACCAAGCTACAAAGTTTAAAGCATTTTTGAATAGTATTTCCGGCTTATTCTAAGTAACTCTTGGTGATTTTTTAATACGTGGCTCACTGGGCTATTGGCAGCTATTGCGTGACATTTAAAATATTGATTTCCTGTTCTTAAGAGTATCATATTTAAAAAGAACCTCCCAAAATTAGGGGATTTGGGAATTATGAGGACAATCAAGTGAATACGGACGAAGTTATCGACGATCAAAGTTGAGTATTTTTATAAGGAATGTATGTTGGTGGGCAAGATGTTACCCTACACCATACATTCTTTGTAAAAATACTCAACTTTGATCGTCTGTAATTTCGTCCAGGTTTACTGGATTGACCCCATAATTTCCAAATTCCCTAATTTTAGCATTTTCTTTTTAATTGGGATATTTGTAAGGACAGGTTGTCAAAAATTTTAAATGTCACGCAGTACCTGCCAAGAGCCCATTTTGTACTTTGTTTATACCTGAATGAACTCCGAGTCGTATGTTTTGTTTATAATGTTTTCTATATTATAACTTTATAAGTTTTATTAATATATCTTCGTGTTTTGAGAGGATTATTCTAGTGAATGTATTAAGGGTCGTTTTGTCAAATAATTCAGGGGATATTACAGCGTGTTTGTGGTAGAAAAGACAAGTTTTTGTATTATATTATTTGATATAAAGACGTGTGAGGTCACAAAGAATAAACTAATAATAGCTTGAAGCAAAGGACGTTGAAAGTGTATATCAAGGGGAAAAAATATTTTCAAAATCACTTATATGTGAACAGTGTAGTAGTATGGTTGCAGTATTTTTGTATGTGGACTTCTCTTTTCAGAGATATAAACATTTGAAATATCAATATGCAAATGAGATGTCGTAAATTCCAGAATGTGTTACATTTTGCAGTGTGATTTACGACAAGTGTTCTGAAGTGAAATAACCCAAAAGTGTACAAAGCCATATATTTCAGTTATAAGGATGATTTGCAAATGAAAAAACAGCCGAGTACTTTCCACAAAAGCATTTTTGTATAAAAAATTAATCTTGAATTTACGTCATCTCATTTGCATATTGATATTTTAAATGTTTATATCTCCGAAAAGAAATTTTCACATAAGAAAATAGTGCAACCATACTTCTACACTATTCACCTATAAGTGATTTTGAAAAAAAATTTTTTCCTTGATATACACTTTAAGAAGAATTTAATAGTCCTGTGTTCTGCATTCTGCATTGACAAAGAATCTAACTCAAGCATGGAGGTTTTCCTTTGTTATGCAGAAGTATTTCWATGAATAAAGTTGGAAAGGATGCTCTTGCACAATCTAATAATTTTATTGCTCCTACTATGAGCTAGCAATATCATCCATGATAAATTTATGAAAATTGCGACAATGCTATTTTTAGAAGCTTAGAATCTGTGTGAAGATGTATTGCATGATGGGGTAGAGAGAGATTATGAATATGTTTGTTCACACAGCATGAAATGAATACCCTTCCCTTCTTAAAACTTGTTATGGGATCCCTCTATGCTTAGTATATTATGGGATATCTTTGATGAATAAACGTGCTTGACAACATGAACTTATAACATGGCGTTTAGAAGCGGGATTTAAAGCTTTCCCAAGCGACTAAAGACAAAATAAAGCTTACAGCAAGAACCAAATACGAGAGTCAAAGAAGAACGTTTTACGCAGACTAGGCTGTAAAACATACACAAATCTACATCGATTTCCCTCGAGACTCGCCAGCATACGTTTATCGAGAGTAAAATCACAAAATGGCAAGATCTTCGATACCGATACCTGCAGCAATGGAAATGCAAGGAGATTTATCTTCAAACTGGGATTTTTTCAAAGACAGTTGGCTAAACTATGCGACAGCGACTTCTTTGAATAACAAGGACGACAACGTTATCGCAGTGACCTTACTGACAGTAATGGACAAAGAATGCTTCAAAGTTAATAAGAATTTGCCAATGACGGAAGAAGAAAGACAGAACCCCATAACTATACTAGACAAACTCACAGAAGAGTTCGAAGGTAAGAAAAACATTATCTATGAAAGGTACGCCTTTAACTCGGGTATACAAAAACCAGCCGAAAGATTTGATTATTTGACTCGACTCAGAGAGCTCATAGCAACGTGTAAGTATGGAACACTAGAGAATGAAATGCTTAGAGACAGAATTGTTATAGGAATCAAGAACAACGAAACACGTGAGAGAATTTTAAGAAAGAAAGATCTTACCCTAGATACAGCCATAAACATATGTCGCAGCAGTGAAATGGCCGCACAACACTTACGGAAAATCGATCATACCGAAGCCATCAGCTAGGTGAAAAGCAAGTCTAAGTCATCACACCCTCACTTGGCTACAGAAGGCAAATACATCAAAAATTGCAAATACTGCGGAGGAGAGCACAAAAAAGGAAACAGTCCAGCATATGGAGAAACCTGCAAAAAACGCCACAAAGAAAAAACACTTAGCAAAACTATGCATGTCAACGAAACCAAGCCAGCGGACACAAAGTCGAAATAAGCCCCGCGAACCAAAAGCAAGAAACAACAAGAAACAACACATACATCAGTGCCAAGAATGCATCAGTAGCAGCAGCGAAGAAGAATGCACAGATAGCGATGAAAGCCTCTACAGCCTACAGCATAACAGCACAAGAAAGAAATTCTGCACAACAGTCATGGTAGAAGCAGATGAAAGCAAAGAAGCACAGCCAATAGTCTTTCAACTGGACACAGGCGCGACATGCAGTACCATTAGCTTGAAAGACTACCACAAAATAACAAGACAGAAACCACAGTCATCCCTAGCCAAGCTAAAGTTATACGACCAGTCAACAATAAAGTCAGAAGGACAATCCAAGCTAAGCTGTACCGCAAACGGGATCACCAAAAAGGTACACTTTCAAGTTGTCAAAGATGTAGCAACCTCCCTTCTTTCAGGTAGTGTCTGTAAAGCTCTACAATTACTGCAATTCAGCGAAAACGTTTACAATGTCAGCACGCAGCTTACAAAGGAACAAGTCTATGTTCAAGAATATGCTGATATATTCACAGGCCTAGGAAAGCTGCCAGGAGTCTACAACATAGAAACGGACCCCAACGTAAAGCCAGTACAGACCAACCCAAGGAGAGTACCTATACCAGTACAAAAAGAGCTAAAGAACAAGATCGAAGAACTGGAGAAAATGGAAATCATTTAGCYAAGGTCACAGAGCCAACCCCGTGGATTAGCAATACGGTTGTTGTAAGAAAGTCTAACAAGCTAAGAATATGTCTCGAACCACTAGAYCAAATAAAGCTATATACGAAATCACTACCCAACACCCACCATTGAACAAGTAGCACCAAAGCTAACCACTGCCAAGATATTTACCGTTGATGGACCTTSAAGCTRTCTAACRACATTCTGCACCCCGTACGGTCGCTACMGATGGCTCCGCATGCCATTCGGCATCACGTCAGCACCGGAGGAATTCCAGCGAAGGCTAGACGATTGCCTCGGAGGTTTGCCRAACATCCAAGCAGTACATGACGACATCATTGTCTATGCAGAGAACGACAAAGAACATGACAATGCCGTGCTAGAGCGATGCAGACAGCGCGGACTGAAACTGAACGAGAAGAAACTGAGATTCAAACTAGATAAGATAACCTATCAAGGACACGTTCTTACAGCAGAAGGAATCTCCGCAGACCCAGACAAAATCCGTGGCATCGTCGAAATGCCGCAACMGAACAGCAAACAAGATATACAGAGACTCATCGGAGTAGTAACATCCATCTCAAAATTTCTGCCACAGCTGAGCACAGTAACAGAACCACTGCGACGGCTCATCGACAAAGACGCATCCTTCGATTGGCTGCCACAACACGAAACTGCGTTCACGTGCATCAATACGATKATAACACAAACACCGACCCCACGTTACTATGACGTCAACAAAGRAGTTACAATCGAATGCGACAGCTCTGAAGTTGGACTTGGCGCAGTCATAACACAAGAAGGACGACCGATTGCGYACGCCTCACCTGCACTAACAAGAGCTGAACGCAATTATGCTCAAAATCGAAAAGGAATGCCTGGCGATAATTTTTGCCACCCAAAGATTCGAACAGTACATTCTGGGTAAAAAAAAAGTACGACTCCACACTGACCATAAGCCACTAGTTACAATCTTCAAGAAGTCTATCCTAACAAGCCCCAAACGTCTTCAGAGAATGAGGTTACAACTACAGAAATACTCACTTGCCTTAGAATACAAASCAGGACCCAAAATGTATATCAGCGATACCTTATCACGAGCAGYGCTCCCGAACATGCAGTCGACCAGAACTGAAACACCTTACTACCAGATCTTTCAGATCCAAGAGGAACAGAAATTATGTGAAGAGCTAGAAAACATCAGCCACGAWGAAGCACTATTTGTAACAGACTCAAGGTTGAACGCCATSAAGTACGAAACAGCCAAAGACACTTCCATACAGACGCTGATGWCTGTCATCAAGGAAGGATGGCCCGATAGTAAAACCGACGTTCCCTTATGCATTCGAGAATATTGGGCCTACAGAGACGAACTAACAACTCAAAATGGACTCGCGTATCGAGGAACTAGAATCGTTATTCCCACTACCATGAGGACAGAGATGGTCAAAAGAGCTCATGCGTCACACCTTGGAATCCAGTACACCATCAATACAGCGAGAGATATCATGTATTGGCCTAGWATGACAGCTGACCTCACAGAGGCCGTCAACAGCTGTACAACCTGTCAAACGCGACCAACACCACAGAAAGARCCTATGATGTYACACCCAATTCCACAGCTTCCATGGCAAGCAGTAGCCAGCGACTGCTTTGAGCTAGAAGGACAACACTCTGTCATTCTCGTTGACCTTTATTCAGACTGCATCGAAGTTGCCAAGCTCCCCAACATGTCTACAACATCCCTTATCAACCAGATTAAACCCATCTTTGCCACCCACGGGTCACCAGAAGTCCTGATAACGGACAATGGTACCAACTACGTCTCCAAAGAGTTCAAAACTTTYAYAAGAACCTGGGACATTACTCATGTCACTTCCAGCCCTCATCACCAGAAATCCAACGGCAAAGCAGAATTTGCTGTAAAGATCATGAAGAACCTTATAAAAAGAGCACAAAAGGAAAGACAGGACATRTGGAAAGCCATGTTAGAGTGGAGAAACTCATCCACACCTGGCACCACAAGCTCGCCAGCTCAACGACTTATGTCACGACGAACGAGATCGTTTCTACCCTGCATACAACCCCAACGTGTACAAACCCGAAGTTCAAACCAATGTCACCGCTCAAGTTGTACAGAAGAGAAGACGAGCCAAGTTGTGTTATGACCGCCACTCCAAAACACTACCCAAGTTAGTCGTTGGTCGACTGGTAATGGTCAAGGCAAGCCCACAGCGACCTCGCAGTGATTGGAAAGCAAGAACAGTGACAAAWGAGACAGCCTCGCCCCGGAGCTGCATTGTTGAAGTTAACGGACGCAGCTATAAGCGCAACAGGACTCACTTGAGAGACACAAAGTGCGAACCACAAAAACCAACCAACCGGCCCATCACAGAAACAAGCCACCGAAACCTCAGTCCGAGAAACTACCATCGCCGCCCCAGTAATCGAGCCTACTTCAACCACTCAAGAAGCAAGTCCCTCACCATCACTTGCACCATCCTAMATCACCAGATCTGGACACGCAGTGAAGAGACAGTCAAGAYTTAATGACTTTGATTAGTGACTCTGATTGGCAGCCAATGCTACAGTTGTTGTTAACTTCCAATATGATTGTCAACAGTATTTATTGTTCGTTCAMGCATTTATCTTTTTTCAGTTAAACAAAGGGAGATGTTATGGGATCYCTCTMTGCTTAGTATATTATGGGATATCTTWGGTGAATAAACGTGCTTGACGACATGAACTTATAACAAAACTACTACAGCCAAATGCCGCATACCAGTAATAAAACATTAATCAATATTAATAACAGCTCTTAATGATTAAAGCACTTTACTGTATATGTTATATCAGCGTGGACCGGCCATTGACTTAGATTATAATGTAGGAAATTGTGGGATTTTAATTGCTATTGACTTCAGCATACTTGTTTACACAGGTTAGAGTAACTGGGGTCCTATGTTGATATGCTTTATATTGTTTAATCAATGCATTGTGACTGGCTGTCACATACGTTAAGTGACCTCTGCTTCATTTAACATAAAAAATAACATATGACAGATTCTGCCTTTGCAGATTGTACAACACAAGTGACTGCACTTCAAATTATGGCATCAATCCCTCCTTTTTTTGCTTCAAATCTTCTGCTTTTTTGCTAAAGAAATCTGTTAATACCTCCGTAACAATTTAGATAGAAAACAAAAAAATGATCATTTTTTCGATTTCAAAATCAAAATAGTTCAATTCAATTCTTCACATTTTTGATTCAATTATGGACTTAATTACCCAACTTACTATAAATTTTTAAAATTCTTAGAATTAATGATGTGCTAGCACGAAACCCTTTTAATGAAATACTTTTAAATTACCTAATTTGTGTTAAGATTTACTCTATTAACACAAGATTAGAAAGGCAAATTTAAATACAGATGTTATTATTTTGTTAATGACTTGTTATGACTTTTTATGACTCCTAAAAACTTCATACTTCAGYGTAGTATCCGTAAGTAGATGATGATTAACTGTTGACATTATGCATTTAAGCATTATGCAATGCTTAACTATGTTCCAGTTCATCTCAGGTATACTTAAAAAAAAAAATGTAGACATTAATTAGATAATTGCTACTGTAAACAGACTCATCACTATTACTATGATTTACAATAAATTCTTTACAGCAAAGTTTTTACCTTGGTAAAACATAAATTAAAAATGTTATATTTTACAACATCAAATTACTAAAATCATTTCTATACTAAAGAGACTCATTACTTCATTAATCATATCCTTTTTGTAATCACTACCAAATCCTGCAATCTGATTGGTTCAAAGGAGTGCGATTAATTCCCTTATAGTACACTCAAAAAATTACTCGACTCTGATTGGTCGAGGAGTACAATTATAGCGTTAATTGTACTCCGTAGGAGTACCGAATTAAGTCGCTATGGCAACAC